TACGCCGCATTGTAATTGTAAAAAGAGGTATCCCGTGCGAGTAACGTGTAAGACCGTGATTCCGTGTAAAGGGGAAGGAGTGACGCGCGTACGAAAATGAGTGTATGTGACGTGAAATTAATAAAACGCAATTGAAGTCTCGAAGTAAATGCCGTCGTCTTTTCCGCAGCAGTAACGTGAACATTTGGTGAAGATCATTGCGTATCGTTGAGTGATCTTGCGTTTGCTTCTCATCCTCGATCAAGAGCATCATCTTCGAGGATCCTGTCTCATTCTTTGTAGCCGCCTTCGAAACTTAACCCGTATTGTGTCATTGGTACGTAAAACTATAAGTGGTTAATATGTCGCATTTTTATCATTTTTAGGGCTCCCGTACAAGAACGTTCGTTACGTTACGTTTTTTAAGAGGCAATTAATGAAAGTACATGTGACAAAAATGAAATTATTAAGAGATGCAATTAAAGTCTCAAAATTAATACCATTGTTTCTTTTGCAGGAGCTGAACATTTCGTGCAGTGAACGTTTGGATGATCGCATTTGTTGCTGCCTATCACTAGTAGTCCCCCCTCCCCCTGCCAGTCACGTTCAGAATAAATATTTCATTAGTTCCTGTTACCGTTCTGATTGAATTCGTAGAGGTAAGAATATACGTGGAAAATATGTCGCATTATTATAGAGTTAAAAAGTATCGCGAGTTAAGGAAAGGGTATATGAGTATGAACGAAAGTAAAGATTACGAAAAAGAAAAAAGTACTAATAACGAAGCAAGCAGTAGCATATATACTATTAGTAACGGAGAGATAATAGATGCAGACAATTTGTCAAATAAAAGCGGTTGTAATGAAAGTCAATTAAATATTATTAGTAACGAGGCAAGCACTAGTAATTATACTGTTAATAACGAAGAGAATATAGATCAATTATCTAATGTCAGTGATTCTGTAAGAGCATTGCTCAATGACTCACCTACATCGCAAACACCTATTAATAAAAAAATCAAGCAATGGACATTGCAAAATTTAGATACATTACGGTTAAATGTAGTTTCAGAGTTACTATTAATATTGAGGGAAGAGGGACATACATCCTTACCTCAAACAGCTCAGACTTTATTAGGCACAAAACATAGTCGGGTTTTGCAAGTAATGTTTAGTAATCGGGAAACTGAGGGAGCATACATGTATCTAGGAATTCAGAACGGGTTGGAAAAAATAATTTCGCTTGATGCGTATAGTGAAAATGAAATTCCTGTATTTATTCATATAGACGGAATGCAAATATATCAAAATTCTCAATTTCAAGTGTGGCCAATAAGTGTTAAAATCTGTCACCCAAAATACGATTGTAAACCTTTTGTCGCAGGTATATTTTGTGGGGATTCCAAACCACGAAGTAGCAATGATTATCTTCATGATTTCGTTGAAGAAGCAAAACATTTAATAAATAATGGCATTGAATTACACGGGACAAGATATTTTTTTAAAATTAATGCTATAATTGCAGACAGTCCCGCGAGAGCATTTATAAAATGTTGCAAACCACCGAATTCTTTTTTTGCTTGCGAGAGATGTACAACCAAGGGGATATCTGTAAGAAAAAAACGTTCGGTTAAAAGGGTTTATCCTGAGATGAATAGTAGAAAGCGAAGTAAAGAATCTTTTTTACAGAAAAAACAGCCAGAACATCGTAAAGAAAATGTAGAGTCAGCATTGTTGCAATTGCCAGATTTTAATGTGATTAATTCTATCGTTATTGATTCCATGCATCTGTTGTATTGTGGGGTAATGAAATTTTTATTAGAAAAATGGATTGTAAAGACGAATGTGGCAGGACTTAAAAAACAACAGGTGTGTTATCTTAAAGACTTAATGACTTCTATCACTCCCGACATACCGTGTGAATTTCAGCGCAAAAAATTCGACATAAACGCGATACCTAGATAGAAAGCGACTCAATTCAGATTTTTCTTGTTATATTGTAGCTCAACGGTCTTGCATAAAGTGCTTCCAAAAAATTTTTATAGACACTACTTACTTTTATTTGTAGCATGTCGTATCTTAAACAAAAGATCCGTAATGTTAGCACATACTGATTATGCACAAAATTTATTAAGACAATTTTTTTGTTTATTACCATCCCTTTATGAAGAACAGTCTCAAGTACTAAATATGCACTATTTAATTCATGTAGCTGATGACGTTAAAAATTTTAAGTTGCCATTGAGTGAATTGTCTGCATTTTGGGGGGGAAAATTACATAAGTATCTTCAAAAAACTCGTGAAATCATCAAAAAAACCTCTCACGCAAATTATTAACAGACTATCTGAGTTAGAAGCAAGGGAAACAAACAAAATAAGAAGAAAATCGTATTTGGCTAATTGTGTTTTTAAAAATAACAGTACATATAACGATAAAGGAATAGAATATATCTTTGTTTCCAGTATTACCGTTAATAATTTTTTATTGAAATGTGTTCATCCTGACAATGTGGTTCAATTGAAAAATGAAAAAAATATCAAGATTGATGCGATATTAATAAAAAAAAAAACAATACTGAGGAGACGTGTAAATTGCAAGATTTTTTTTTGTTAGGATATGAATTGATTGATTTCCAAGAAGCTTTTAAATATCCTATCTCATCAAAAAAGGTTAAAGTTTTTGTTGGAAATAAATTTGCGGAATCAAAAGATATGTTCCCTCTAAAAGATATACTATGTAAATGTATTCTGTTACATATCAATAATTTACTATACATAATTTCGTTATTGCATACATAATATGATTCTTGTGCACTCGTAAATAATTTGAAATAATTTTTT